TAGATCGGTAGGCGATTCTGTTCCTCTTTCACCTCCTTCGTCCTCGCTTCATTTCTCTTCCTCTTTCTTAAGAAGACTTAATATATTCAGTAGCATACAAATCAATAAACTAAGTATTCTTAAGAATTCAATGGGACCTTACTCTCCTTTGTCTCATTATATTGGTAGGCGATTCTGTTCCTCATTCTCCTCCCTCCTCCTCTCTTCATTTCTCTTCCTCTTTTTCCATTGCCTCTTCCTTTCTCTTCCTCCACTATGTCCCCTTCTTCCATTCCTCCTTCCTCATCCTCTTTCTCCACCTCCATCTGTTCGTTTCTCTTCTTCTTCCTTTTTGAGTTCTCGGTATTTATCGGTGTACCATGTGTTGGTACCTCAGTTGATGCATATTAGGTTGACCAGGGACCAATATAGATGGTTGCAAGACAACAATTCTTGCTCACATACCTACTAGATCTGAGATATCTTCTGATAGCTACTAAACTTTATGTATTGGAAGAAGAAAAAATAATAAATTCACAGATCAGAAGAAATCTTTTAATTTCATATTTGATATGATTACAACTAATACAAATTATCAAACAGGAAATTGGAAAAAAATTCAATGGGAATAGAACAAATTAGATAAAAGGTTCTTCAATGTTCATGTAATTACAACCATATATTGGTTTTTTTATCTATGCTTTCAACCAGCTATTTTTTTTCCTTACGGACTCAAAAGTGAAGCACTATATTGCTGTGATGACAAGGGTACTTGTTTTTCTCACAAAAATATGTGGATTTATAATTATGTCAATCTTTTTCTTTTCCCTGGCTGTACTGTCTCTAATGTGGTAGTTGTACTATGAATGAACAGGGCTGCCGTAATGGAGATTCATGTTTCTTTTTACATGATTACACCCCATGCTTTGCAATGACTGCTGCATCTAGTCTGTGCTTACAAGAAGATGCAAGTACTCTGGCCTATTCTCTTTTAGAGTTGTTGCCCTTCAGGACCAATGATTATGTTCTTATATTGAATGATAAGGATCTCTTTTTTTCATGTAACCTGTCACAATGGTATGATCCTCACAAGATAGTTGCTACTACACATCATCCATACTCTGAGTCTGAGTTGTCTTCACATGGGATCAAGATACTATGGAATATAGCTCAACCCTGGCAATCCATATTGAAAACAGAAGAATTTCCCATTTCTTGGGGACGAGTGAAATGTGTATTATGGTTTGCTGATATTAAGGATGATGCAACGGCAGAGCACAATCTTTTACAGAATTTCTTCCACTATCTTGCTGTCAGAATGTTGGCTGATGCCTTATATGATATGCATGTAATTATAACCATCAATAACATGAAATTTGCACAGCTACAGGTATGATTAAGTTACCTATTGAATATTAATTATATGTTTAATGGAACAAGCTGGTGTCTTATTGCTCAGTTTTTCTGGATCTTCAATACAAAAATATTTTGAGAAAGAATGACCATACAAACAAAATATACAATAACATGACCATACAAGTTGTGTTGTTTTTTATTTTTAATTTACATTGTTATTAAATACTAGACCTGGAAGTTTTATTGACTTAATTTAGAGTGTTGCCTCTATGTTTCAATGGTTCCCTGTCTACTACATGTTTCATCTCATCACTATAACTTATAGGTTTTCAAATCCAGACATTTTTCTTTAGAAATGCATTTTTATTGGCAATATTTTGACGTCCACCCTTGAATTCAGTGAAGCATGATATGATTTGTTCATATGAAATGTTTTCATCCTGATCATTATCTTCATTTGCGTGATTTGTGATCAAATAGTAATATAAAGGCTCATTATCAGTGTTGAATTTTCTTTTCTTTTTTTTGAAATATGCCTTTCAGGTGGAAAGATTGGCGAGGGAGTGTTTTTTCTTTCTTACCCAGTCATTTCCATTTGATGAAACAAGTTTTGGGAAGTTCTCAGGTTCCAGGGGAACAACAAGGCCCAATCAGGTCTCTGTGCCAATCTCTTATGTTTTTCGTATGTATCCACCAGTTGGCATACAATTTGCGGACTATAATTAAGGCTGTAAAAGGATTCTGGTATACAATTTGCCTATGCAACAGTGCTCCAGAATCCTAGACTCTTCATAGTATAGGTGTTATGGAAGTGATTGTTTGCGGTTTCTTGACTGTTCATAGTTTTAGACCAAGATTTTTGACAATGTGAAGTTAAGGAAGTGAAATTCACCTTTCTTTTGTTTCTTTCTTGTGCTTAAGTTCTGGTGCTTAAGTCTTGGAATGACCATGTATGTCTATCAACTTTCAAAGTATAACTTGTGTTGGTGAGGAAAGTGTAGTCCTACTTACAGAAGCTCAAGATGTATGAAAAGAGAGCGATGGCGAGGAAGGTGATGCAGAAGATGAGAACAATGACGAAGGTGATACAGAAGATGACAACCTTGTAGTATTTGTTACAGCAGACTTGACGCATTACAGATCTGCATAAGGGGATTGTAGTAAGCTTATCATCCCTCATTTTTATTGGATAGTTTAGTCGTTTTGGCCTTGTATAGTTGCTTGGATGTCACGAACGAATCTGGATTTTGTCCTATGGCTCCATCCAATCTTGTGCCATCCTTTTCTATCTTCAGATATGAGAAAATTTCTCTGATATGTTGGAGAGTCTCAAGGCCACTTGAGACTCGTCTCGCGTACCAATTTTTATGAAGGATTGCAGTTGCAGACTTGCACTTCTAGTACGTCAGAACATACCGTGAGGTTGGAGTTGGAAGGGGATGAAGAAGGAAAAAAGGAAAGAAAAAAAAAGAGAAAGAAGATGAGGAAGAAGACTGAAAAAGAGTTTGAAGGAGTGGAGACGAGAGGAAGCACTGGAGCAACCGGCAATGGGCGACAAACAGTAGGCATCAACCATGCGAACCGCTCCTCTTTGTGCTAGTCCTCCATCAAAGGTTTACAAAAGAAAGTGTAGATCTTTGTGCAAAAATAGCAAAACTTTGATATGGATACTAGTATGTTGAATTTACCATGGTGATTCAGTCGTCTAACTCTAACTGCATTAAAAGTGCCTTGATATACTATTGTTATTCAGTTATCTTAATGAGGATATCCCGATGCGTAACAGATTAATTTTGGATGAAGCCTTTCTCAACAGCAATCATTAAGCGTTCCGAAGCCTTAACGCTAAAGCTTCACATTGGATGCTAGTCCTATCCAAAATATAGGATTGTCCTGCAACAAGTAATCACCTTTGTGATCTAAAATAAGATCTTTATATTAAAAAGGACCTTCAATTAAAAGTTTCAAAAAAAAAAAAAGGGGGATAAATTTATTAAAAAGTTATAATTTTTTTTTTTTTGTGTATCAAAATGAGTTCCTCATCGAAATACTAACTTATTACCAAAAGTAAATATTAACTAGAGTAGTATAAATAGTATAATAATAAATTAATCACAAAGTGAGACACTAAATTTTTTACATGAAAAATTTAATGCGAGAAAAACCAAGGGACCGTAGTCCACTTCAAACCTCCACTATCACAAATAATGATAACATATTTACAATAAATTTTTTCAAATAACTAGACGATAATAATAATATCAAGAACACATATCTTGGTTTAACAATAACATATCATCATTATCATAGATAGATTTCATGAAAAGAAAGATTTAAGTATCACCAAGTGAGTATATCAGAAAAGCATCTCAGAGAGGACAAATTGTAGATCGGCACCATTAGAATTGTAGAGCTTTTTACAATGATTCTTCACGTAAAATTTAGGTCAAAATCGACGAAGTTTTACCGCTTGATTGTATAGAAAAAAAAACTCAAAACCTTAACTTTCTCTCTCCTTTTCTCTCTCTATTCTTTATCTGCCACGCCACTATTTCTACCGTTCACACACCTCTCACACCGTGCACATCTCCACTTTCTTTTTCTTTTTCTTCTTTTATTTTTTTAATAAATCAGATTTGGGCTCAATGCCCAAATCAACATGTCCAAACCTACCTATAGGCCTAACAATTCTCCCCTCCGCCCAAATCAACATGTCCAAACCTACCTATAGGCCTAACAATTCTCTCCTCCAGCTTATATATGTTAAGAACGAGTCGACATTAAGAGGGGGGGTGAATTAGTGCAGCGAATAAAAACGTCGATTCTGAAAAATTCTTTCGTACGTTGAAAACCGATTTCAGAAACTTGAAAGTGTATGAGAGTGTAAGCATAGTAAAAGCACAGTAAAGAGGAGAGGCAGTTTGCTATAAAAGTAAAGTGCTCAAAGGAAATGCAAACCAGATTTTTATAGTGGTTCGGTCATCGTGACCTACATCCACTCCGCCGATTCCTCTTCCATCAAGGCCACCGGCATCTACTATCGGTCTTCCTTCAATAGACGAAGACCAACCACCTTTTACAACTTGATTATCCTTTTACCGGGTTTAGAAGATAACCCTTACACCCCCCCCACTTACTCCTCTCTCAAATTATTCTAACACTTAGAACTTTTGAGAGGAGTTCACACAAGATTGTAGCAGCATTTCTTTCTATTTTTACTCTCAAGTCTTCTGGTAATTGAGGATAGACAAGTCTAACATATTGAATTCCCTTGTATCGTTTGGGGACTATGACGTAGTGGCTTAGTACGTCCGTAGTCGATAAGTCGAGTGAATCATTGTGGAGATAACAGTTCACTAAGTTAGAATGAGTTCTAACAGGTATGACTCATGGCCAGCTTGATATTGGACTTAGAGAGTTACACACATTTGGTAGGTGTTGTGATGAGTAAAGGTTCAGATATGAGATATCCGCTAGACCCCTTATCTTATTGGATATCCAATAAGCCCTTGAATTATTGGATTCTATGGATGAGATCTAATAATAGCCAATGAGAGATTATTGGATAGAGATCCACTAATCTAATAAGCTTGGGAAGTTAGATGAAGATCCAATAGAGCAGGATCCATTAGGGTTAAGTTGACAAAGGACCTCTATAAATAGGAGTGAACTAATGGTTCATAGGCTAGACCCGTTTGAGTTGCCTCTCCTATTCTCCTCCCCTTCTTCTCAGATAGCAGGCTTAGAGTTTTGATGAGCATCGTCGCAGCCTTGTTGTGTGGATCACTACTAGAGAGGAGACACTTGACCTCCTTTACCCTCTCCCAAAGATCTGTAGGGATTTAGGGATATACGATCTCCCTAGGTAACACAATATTTCATATATGCAGTTTTAAGTTTCGTAGTTTTTGCACACCAATCTTTGCATTATGACGAACATATCTTTGAAAAATTAGGGATTTTGTTTTTAATGTTATTCCGCTGCTTATGTGATATCGCTCCCTAGATTTCCCAACATTAGGATGACAGAAATAATACCTATAAGTTTCCTTGGGATATCTCATGAACTTGCACCGCTTCGTCCTGAATTCCAACTTATCGGGGTTGTGTCTTTTAATATGGGTAGGACAACCCCAAATCTTAAATCCCTACAGATCTGTAAGAGAGGATGAAGGAAGTCAAGCGGCCTCCTCTCTAGCGGTGATCCACACAGCATGGCTGCGATGATCCTCCTCAAATCTCTAGGCCTGGTATTCGAGAAGGAGAAGGGGAGTTAAGAATATGAGATGACAACTAAGAGAAGCTCTAGCATATGAACCTTTAGTTCCCTCCTATTTGTAGAGGCCTTCCTGTCAACTTAACCATAATGGATCCGACCCTATTGGGTATTGATCTCCATCCAACTACCTAAGTCTCTTAGATTAGTAGATCTTTATCCAATAATCTCTCATTGGTTCTTCTTATTGGATCTTATCCATAGGATCAAATAATTCAGGGGCTTATTGGATATCCAATAAGATAGGGGGTTCAACGGATATCTCATATCCGAACCTCTACTCGTTGTAATGCCTACCATATGTATATGACCCTTTAGGCCCAAAATCAAGTTGACCGTGAGTCATATCTATTAGAACTCCTTCTGGCTTAGTGAATTATTATCTTTATAATAATTCACTCGACTTATCGACTACAGATGTACTAGGCCACTACGCCGTAGTCCCCAGACTGTCACGACCTTAGTTGGAATTGCCTAAGGCGTGAGGCACCCTTACGGCAAAGATGCGAACTTAGCTTGCGTTGCCTAAGTCGCGAGGCATCCTTGCGGCAAAGACGCAAACTTAGCTTGCGTTGCCTAAGTCGCACTTCGCTCTTGCGATTTGCATCTGCAAATATCAGCCCACTTGCAACCTCTCACAAGTCCCGAAGGACCTGTAAAAAGAGAAAGCTGATTATTTCAAAGAACGAGCGACAGACAAGTCCTGACGTCTCGCGAAAAGGGGAAGCTTTACAAGCAATTCAGCGAGCACCTTGTTAGGATCAAGAACACTAAGGGGGGGGGGGGGGGGGGGTTGAATTAGTGTAGCGGAAAACTTTTGACGATTTAAAACGACGTTCGTATGATGAAATCATTTCCGACGTAAACTATTTTCAGAAACTTAACTTGAAAGCGAGTTCGTAAAGGAGTATAG